GCGGACAGCAGAGGGCAGCTAAGGCGCAGGAGGGTTCCTAATGCACTCTCCAGGCTACAAGTACTAGCAGAAGTAGTACTCCTGGTGAGTTAAAAAAAAAAAAAAAAATTTGCACGCCCACACCCGTTAATCTCAGCACTTGGGAGGCACAGGCAGGCAGATCCAGCTAAGGCTACATACACAGAGAACACTGTCTCGAGGGAAAAAAAAGACTGCATGCAGGGTGACACTGCAACAAAGGAAAGCACATTTTCCTTTCTTGTCGTGCAACTACCCTCTGCAAAACTGACTGTGATGCATTCTTATGCCAGGTAAATAACTTTCGGTCATTTATTATGAAACCCATTTTCTCCTGCATGCAAGGCTCTCACGGTGATCCGCACAGGCATGTGGTCATGCGCCTCCAATGGACATTACCACCCACCGACAGATGGTCACCTACCTTCCCAGCTCTTCCCATCACACAGCGCTGTGAGATCCAACTGGGGCACTTCCGGGACAAAGCTCTCCTGCTGGTCAACCGCATCTTGATTCTTCTGTGGTTTGGGGTCAGATACACTGGGGTGCTCCTGAATCTTCATGGTGGGGCTCTGCAATCACAGCACAATGCTCCCTAATCGCTACTGTTCACCAAAATGTAAAAACATTTGCAGCAATTCCATACCATCTGCTATGCTAAGCCACGGATGCTAATGCTCCTGGGCGCAGAAACCAAAACTTTGGCTCCGAGTACCCTGAGTACTACCTGGCTATTCTCATGCAAAAAGCCACTGTCCATCTGCCCGCCTTTAGCTTTTCTTCCTGGGGAGAGAGACAAGATGACTTCCTTGGGCTGCACCTCCAGATAAATGCCGGCAGCTGACGGGTCTTGAGTGATTACTGACTGAGGCCAGGAAGGAGGAAAAGGAGTTTATGTTTCTTAAAGGAGCATGGCCCGCCAGATGGTAAACAACAAAAAGCTGGCCCGTGGTTGCTATGGCTGCAGCTGCGACATGGAGTGTCTGGGCTGGCAGGCTTCTTCTGTGTCTTGGGTAAAGAGTCCTGCAAAGGCAGGGGTGGAGGCTCGGGACTCCCACTCCTCAGGGCCCGCAAGCTTAGATTAACCGGAGCTGTTTTCTCCCAGAGTGAAGAGAGGCAATGAAGGACCTCCGGGTCTTAAAGCTTTGTTGCGCAAATTCAAACAGCACGGGGTTTGGCATTTCATCTCAACTAACAGTGACTCTGGAAACAGGCCAAGATCACACGGAAAACAAACTTTCCAAAATTTTTCTTTTCTTTTTTTTCTTCAGTAAAACGTCAAAGGCTAGCAAGTTCTCAATGTATGATTTGTATATTGCAAGCATACAACCGTCACTTGTTTTTCTACTATTCATATACTCTGAATATGAAAATTGCATTTGCCTCTGCCATTGGTGGTTTGTACACCAGCAGAGGACATCTGAGAAAGGGAAAACCTTCCCAAATGGCTGGTATTTAAGCTAAATGGGTGTGTGTGTGTGTGTGTGTGTGTGTGCGCGCGCACGTGCGCGCGTGCATGCACTTACTACTGCAATTAATTCTCTTGCATTAAAATTGTCTTTTTTATTTTGCACACATTGTAAATTTTTTATTTATTTTTATTTTTTATTTTATGTGTCTGAGTGTATTGCTTGAGTTTATGAACGTGCACCCGTGTCATTCAATGCCTTTGGAGGTCAGAAGAGGGTGTAGGATTCCCTGGAACTGGAGTTAGGATGGTTGTTAGCCACCATGTGGCTAACCCAGGTCTTTTGCAAAAGCAGCTAGAGCTCTTAACCACTGAGCCACCTCTCCAGCCCCCACATTGTAAATTTTGGCACATTGTAAATTAAGCTGTTCTGTCTCTTCCTACTTTCATAAAAATCATAGATAACTATGTTTAAATGTGTTTACCCATAAATACACTTCTTAAGTAGCACAGATCTGCACAAAATATTTTCTTTGGAAGTACATGAACATTTGTTTTTAGTTATACTATCATTAACTGAGAAAAAACTAAGAACATCTGCAAATCCTAAGTGAATTCATTAATGCAGGAGGAATGTTGTTACACTTAAAGTACTATTTTAGACTTCCAGGTTCTTTTAATAACTCTCCAACCCACTCTGAGATCAGCAGGGAAATAGACAGTGTTCTTTTAGTATTATATTTCCATCAAGTGATGCATGAAGACTGGTATTTTCTCTCTCTTTTTTTTTTTTTTTTTTTGGTCTTTTTGAGATAGGGTCTCCCTGTAGCCCCAGCTGTCCTAGAACTCACTATGTAGGTAGACCAGGCTGGCCTTGAACTCACAGAGATCTGCCAGCCTCTGCCTTCCAAGTGCTGGGACTAAAGGCATGCTGCCACTTCGCCCAGCAGGACTAGTATTTTCTTTACATTGAGAACAAAATGAAACCTCGATTAGGTCACAGTGCGTATGAGAACTGCATGAAGATGCCACGTGGATCTTGAGCTCTAAGACATTCTAAGCATGTTGTCTGGGTACTGGTTGTCTTGGTTTGTTTTGTTTGTTTGGTCTTTCCTGTTATTTTGTCAACCTTCCCTCTCCCTAGAACTGAGGACTGAACTAACTGAGGTCTTAGGCTTGCCTAGCTACCACTGAGCTAAATCCCCAACTAACCCCATTGTCTGGCTATTGGAAGACAAAAACCAACACATTCACGTTTCAAAAATCATTTGCCCCTTGAGTTTAATCCTAAATGGACCAGACTAAAAGTCTCAATCTGGTATTTAGCTTTCAGACATTTTAAGGCCAATCAGTCCAAAACTGTGTGCACGTGTATGTGAATATGTGAGTATAAATGTCTGAAAGAGAAACAGAACATGCATATAGTAAGTCAGTCTTTCTCAAGTCTTGGAAAGTTCTTGTGAAGATGTGAGAGATGAGAGGCAAGGCCTGTAGCCTGGTGCTGAAGAAAGAGAGACATCCAAACAGAAGCCCTTATTCATTCTGTTACTATATGGTATCATATGAAGATGAATAAAATGCTGCCACACTCCACAACTGCCAGCAAGGGCACCGTGAGACGCAGCATGCATGGCTGGATGTGAGATAAAATGTGCTACAACAAAGGATGAAACAAATTTTAAATGCATCATGAAAAAATAGCAGCAAACAGAGCCACCAGTATGTATGCCATAAATTGGCATCAACAATTAATGTGGGACAAACAGGTGTGGGTGGGAAGGCTGCACAGAAAGGCACTTCACATAGAAGGAACGGGGGAGCCTAGTGCGAAGGCAGCCACAATGAGAGGAGATGCTCAAGGGGCCAGCCCTTGGGTTGAGAAGGGGGCTGGCAGGTGGTCAGGGTGCCGGAAAGCAGAGGCAAGACTGAAAGGCCTCATATCCTGGGCTAAGCATTGTATAATTAAATATACAATAATGTTACCTACTGTATGTCAGGGGCTACAGATACAAAGATGAAATAAACTCATCAATTCATTCAAGAAACTTTTTTTTTAGTGTCTAATATATGTTAGTTTTTAGACACTGGGAAAATGGCAGTGGACAAAATAAAATGTCCTGATGAGTATTACATGATGGGGACAATTAATAAAAAATTATTAGGTCTATGGAGATAAAGCAAGGAAAAGAGGCAGTAGCAACAAGGTTGAGGTGTCTGTGGGAAAGGCATTCCAAGCAGGGGGACGCCAACCTAGTTCAATGAGGCTTGACCATGTTTCTGTGATTTAGGAACAGCAAAGAGAACACTGTGTATGGAATCCAGTAGGCTTTTAGGATGGGACATCCTACAGTGGGCTCCTGGGCTGATTCCTGGAAAAGCAGTGGACACATCCCTCTTGCTTACACCTATCCCAGCTTTCACAAGACACTCCGCACAAGCTCACTCCACTTCTGTGGAGCTCATGCACAACTTGGTTCTGCTTTGCAGGCTGTGACTCATCTCTGAGGCTGCTGTTTCACTTGTCCACTGGTCTTAGCCACCTGAGTCCCATTTCTGCACCTGCTTACCCATGAACCTGATGTAGTCTACCCTGGGGTTGCACAATTGGCTACTGATAGTTTACTGCACATGATGGGACAGGGATGGTGGTGCTGCTCAGTGCTGCTCAGCGGCTGTTCAGGTTCCACAGCCACGTTAGTATACAGACCATCTTCCTTCCCATGGATACCTCGGCTAAGGCACCTTGCCAGGCAGGCGGTACTCTCAAGGAATGCTTATCATAGAGTCACAGATAGTGCTTCTTTGCTGATCTGTTTCTCTTCCTGGATCACTCAGGTTAACATGTCAAGGGCAGTCAGTCTCAAGTACTAAAATATTTTTGGTCTAAGCTTTTGTTGTTGGCACATCTAGTATGTTCAGTTAAATAAAAAATTAAACTAATTGCACAATTTTCAACTCAGAGATCCTCATGCTGTGATGTGACACATCAAACCCTTGTCAAACTGCTGCCTTATGTGGAAACATACTGAATCTTGGTGTAGTGGAATAGATGGTCTTGTTTACAGAAGATACAGTATGGGGCTCGAGAGATGGCTCAGCAGTTAAGAGCACTAGCTGCTCTTGCAGAGGACCCGGGTTTGATTCCCAACACCTACATGGCAGTTAACAACTGTCCTTAACTCCAGTTCCAGGGGATCCAACATCCTCTTCTGGCCTATGAGGGCACTGCACAACAGGGGTGCACTTATACACACACAGGCAATACACTCATAAACTAAAAACAATAAAATGGTAGGTAGATAAGGACATGGCCTAGAGGCAGAGACCTGAGTTTAAATGGCAGTTTTGCTTGTGGCAGGACCTGTGAATCTGCCTCTTTGAACCTTCGCTTTCTTTTTTCTAATATAGGAATGGGATTTCCAAAGGTTGTTGAGAATAACAAACGAAAAACTTGTACAAACAGCTTTCCTATGCAAATGTCAAAAGAGATGTTATTTCCATTTCTGTCCACCCTCCTTTTCTCATTATTTGACAAGTATTTACTGAACACATACCATGTTCCATAAATACGTATAGTATAGAATTCAGTGTGGAGGAGAGACATTGAATGCCAACATGCCAGTGTCACAGATGCTATAAAGGAAAAGCACTAGGTGACCAGGAGCCAGATGGAGAGCTCACCTCACCTGACCTCAGGTGACATTCCACATGCAGGTCTGGGCCATTAATTTGCATCTCTCAATCTAACCATTGCCAAGACTTGCACCTGTCCAGTGGGGCCTGCTTTTCTCTGTCCTCAGATTTTATTGCTCTATCCCTTTCCTTGGCTTCAGGTAACTGGTACATTTTTGTTCCATTCCTTCTCTTTCCCTCCCTGCAAAGGATCTGGATAAGTGACAACGATTTAGTGGAATGATAAATGGCCACTGGCCATGCCATTCTCATAGGAAGACACACAGAGAGCCATCAGCATTTACTGTTTGGCCTGATAATAAAAGAGAATGGAGGTCGGGGATTTAGCTCAGTGGTAGAGCACTTGCCTAGCAAGCGCAAGGCCCTGGGTTCAGTCCTCAGCTCCAGAAAAAAAAGAGAGAGAGAGAGAGAGAATGGACATAACAGACTTCCCACCTTCAGGTGAGCTGCAAAGTGGGCAGCCCTTGGTGATTCCTGACAGCATGAGAGCTTGAACTTGAAATAACTACTTCTCAGTCTTGCCTGGAAAGCTTCAGTTTCTCCCTTCCCTTCTTTTTTTATTTTTGTTTCCTTTCCTTTTTTGAAGCAGGATGAGAAAAGGGGAAATAGGCTTTTATTATGATGAATGTGCTGTTTGTTATCAAAGGTATGCTTCTAATCTCTCTGAGGCAGTGGGGTTAGAAAGCATGAAGAATGTAAAAATATCTTGAAAATTTAACACTTCATTGACTTATAATGCTGAAATGAAATGATTTCTCCCAGATAATGTAATGTCCTCCCACACAGTTAATATGTCTGACTTGTTCTATTTCCTTGGCAATCAGATTCACTCTAAGTTTATTGTTTGAATATTCTAGATTTTATATGAATTGTAATATATTCTCACAATAGAAAATTGCTTGGCTTGAGGCTGGAGGGATGGCTCAGTGGCTAAAAGTGAATATTACTCTTGAAGAGGACTGGAGTTGGGTTCCCTGCACCCATGTTAGGCAGCTTACAACCACCTGTAACCTCAGCTACAGGGGATCTGCTGCTTCTGACCTCTGCCAGCACCTGCATTCATGTGCACAGACCCAACCCCCATACACATAATTAAAAATAGCAAAAAGAAATCTTTAAAGAAATCTTTAGCTTATAGATGGATCTAAGGCACAAACTCCACGGTCAGTGTAACTCTGAAAATGTATTTTCGGTGATATGTTTTAGAAAGTAGATAGGCCAGTGGGAAAGATAATCTCTCTTCTGGATACCTGGTTTTAAATGAGTTTCAGAATGACAGAGCAAATCTAGACTCCACATCTCCGGGAAATATGTGTTAGCTTCTGCCTTAAGTTATCTCATTTCATACAGCCCAGAGAAGATATTTTATTAAAATGCTGGCATTTCCAAAGCCTGCCTGAAGAACCCCTACTTTCATTTGTGACATTCTGAAGTGACTCTGAATGTTTTTCATTGCAGCGTGTCATCAAACAAATTTTAATTCAAACCTCAGAAGAAAGGCCATTGGCCAGTACCTGTTGGAGACTTCCAGAGACCCTCTTTTGGGATAAGATTAGTTGCATAATTAGAACAAACTTTTAAAGGACATGCAGCAAAGGGATAAGGAAACAGTCATTTTCAGCATAGGCCTTGAGACAAGATTTGCTTAATACTGCAAATTGATAATATATTATTTTAGGAGTATGAGTGTATTGCCTACACACATGTAAGTGCACCTGTGTTGTGCAATACCTGAGGAGGCCAGAAGAGGGCGTTGCATCCCCTGGAACTGGATTTATGAACTGGTTTGTTAACTGCCACATGGGTGCTGGGAACCTAACCTGGGTCCTCTGCAAGAGCAGCCAGTATCTTAACCACTGATCTATCTCTCCAGCCCACAAATTGGTAATTTAAAAATCAGTCACTGTTTTGCCTACATTTGCCTTCAAGAAGCAGACTTATGAGTGTCTGTCTGCCTGTCTGTCCTTAGAACAAGGAGCAGCTCTGAGGCCAACAGCCAGTGTCTGTCATTCTGATGGAACACGAGTCCTATCTCATACAGGTCTGACAGTGTACACAAAGAACCTAAAGGACAACATCAGTGGGAACAAAACCATCTCACTGGAAAATCGAATTGCAAAACTGATTTATTGTGGGCAATACATGTGCTTGGATCTCAGTCTGATGCTAGTGGAGATTTGAAACAAAATAAATAATAGTTAATTAAAATTCTAGAAAGGGTTTAACAAAGTCTAGACTTTTCATTTCTGAGATGGAGAGATTATTGCTGTTTTACCAGAAAATCAGACTACTACATGGCTGATATGAGAAGTTTTAGGAAATGACAAACATGAAATCAGTGCACACTGGAACAAGGGGAAGCATGGGGAAAAAAATGGAAACCAGATCTCTTTTCCCCCCTCCAAACAGATATAATCCCAATCTTGTGCGTGTGCCCTTTTCTCTCCCATTGGTGCATGCAGAGCTCATTCAGATTTAACCCACAATCTAATTCCTCTCTCTAACTGAAGCAGTCATGATGACGATGCCTATAAATAGTGAATGTGACAGAGTCCCAACAGTGGGCTGGGTGCTGGCTGGTGCTGCACATGGGTGGCACACGTATGAGGACATGGCACATGGGAGAAGGAGTTAAGACCTCTTTGGTGGGTACTGTCCACTAGAGAAGCAGGCGAAGAGACCATCATAAGTTTAGTTTGAGTGTCATTTGGGATTATGATACTATCACAAAGTTCATGAACAAAGTTGTTCCACTGCATTTTACCTCAGAAAAGACAGCAAACATAACAGGGTGAGGGGCAAGGGGTTGGGGAGAGACTGAGCAGGCAAAGTGATTTCTTGAGAGTTGTATTCAACGGTATGTTGAACAAACAGGGCCTTTCTGTGAGCCAAGGAAGATAGCAGAGAAAAGAAGAAACATGTATTTTAACAAATTTCCCAATGTCAAGGAAGGAGCATCCATTTATCACCTTGGTCCTGTGAAAGAATAATGGAGCTGGAAATAAGTTTTGAAAGAACTGGCTCAGAAGCTTAAAGTCAGAACAAGGATGCAGGCTTGAAATAGGTTTGCTGTTGTTTGTTGTTTTTGTTACTTTTTTGTTGTGTTTGTTGAGACAGAGTCTTGCTATGTAGTCAGACTGGCCTTCTTCCTGCCTTAGCCAGGTGTCATGAGCCACCACATCTAGCTCTCTACCTCGTGGAAGAATACATGACAAGAACTGAGGAATTGTATGGGGGGTTCATTATATCATAGCATTTCACATAAACATGCAGTTTTTTAAAGAGAGAGCCCCAATTTTCAGATTCTTTTTTTTTTTTTCCAGTGCTGGAGATTAATAATTATCCAGGGCCTTGTGCACGCTACACACATGCTCTACTACTGAGTGACACCCTTAGCCCAGCTTTCAGATTCTTTTTTTTTAATATTTTATTTATTATTTTTATTTCATGTGTATGAGTGTATTGCCTGCACGTATGTGAGTGCACCCATGTCGTGCAATGCTTTGGAAGTCAGAAGAGGGCTTCAGATTCCCCTGGAACTGGAGTTAAGGATAGTTCATAGCCACCATGTGGGTGCTAGGAATTGAACCCAAGTCCTCTGTAAGAGCAGTCAGTGTTCTTAACCGCTGAGCCATCTCTCCAGGCCCAGCTTTCAGATTTTTAATCTGCTAGACTCAAAACTCTCTGGAGGAAGTGACTGTGGCTGTCATTAAAGCCCAGGTCCTGGCACATAATCTACATAACAGAATTCAATACACACTGTTGAATAACATGGCTGCTAAATCAGGTCAGGACTCAACAAAGATTAAGAACTATTCAGCTACCTGGATAGTTCTCTATATTATTAGTATATCAACATTTAACAATAGATTTTGAAAAGTTTTGTCTTCCCCAAAATAAACCTACGAAAATTGACACTGAAATTGGAAGCATTTGGAAGCGACAGATCAAATATACATACATGAATTAAAAATCTGGACACTTGGAACGGAACCAGGGATGAACACGAGAGAAAAGAAGTACTTGGAGCAGCACGGTGATGCTGCAAGGCACAAGGAACAAGAACGAACTTGGAGATACAGACATTAGGGAGGTAGAGGCTTTTTCCTCCATTTTTTTTCATTAAACTGAGACAAAATGAACTTGATTAAGTAATTTAATCTGAATTTATGTGACTTTGAAAACTCATGAGGTAGTCCTTATGATAGATGCATTTAAAGTGACTACCTGTATATTTTGTACACTTAAAAGGTACAACAAGTCACGGGAACATCAAACTGGTTGCTCTGATTTTTTTTTTAAATAGAAAATCTGAAGAGCAATCTCTATACTATTACAACTTATCTTTATAAGGAAATGTAATAATTAGCTTTTCTACCTAGTCACAGTCCTGTCAGTTATCTCACTGGTCCTTATTAACAGGCTAGTAACATTTCCTATGCATGATTAAGAGCTTAGGCTCAGTGCTACCACAGTCTGATGGGCAGCAGTTTCCTCTGAGACAAAACTTCCCATCTTGGAGGAACCTGGTCAAGACACAAACCGTTCCAGGGGAGGAAAGACATTCCATCCGAAGGAACGCTCAGGAAGTAAACAAACCAAGAAACAAAACAAGTAAACAAGTCAGTCAGGACTTTAGGAAGTCCCTGAAACTATTCACTAGGCCCAACCCTCTCCCAAGCATATCTAAACTCTAAGGACTGCTGAGAGATACTCTCAGACCAACAGAACTGCCTGGAAGAGACTCTCCAACCTGTTGGGCTGCCTGCAGGGTGTACAGTGTCCTCCAGGTTTCCTGCTTTCAAATGAGCAACACCCATGCTGGGGTGGGCTTTGGTGATGCAGCTGTTTTTGAGTCATTTCTACTCCTGTAAGTAACCCCTCACCACACTCCTGTAAGTAACAACAAAACTCATCGGCTCACAAGTTGGACTTTGGAGGTCTCCTTACTTTGGTCTGTCATTGGTTCCCTATCTCAAGAGTAGAAGTTTGTTTATGCCTCCCCAGGAATAGTGTCATGTAACACAGTCACACTTCTGTCAGCTACTTACCTCATAATGCTGGCTGTCTCTGCCACCTCTTTCATTTTCTTTGCTATCAACAACAAAAACAAATATCATAAATTGCCCATTTATTTTATAATACCTTTTATCCCTTCACATTATAATATTATTTATTTTAAAAGTGGGTGGAGTATATCTAAACTAAATTTCTTATAAAATTCAAAATCAAAATAGAACAGGAAATTAAAATTACAACCGCCCCACAGGCAAGGCTACATATGGATTGCTTATGAGCAGCACTGTAAGAGATTCTCAGTCCAAGCGTTTTCTGTGCGATAAATATAGCTGGTCAACACTTGTTCTTTTATTCTACCTTTTTAAAGTTCTTATAACTCACTGTATTTAGTTTAAAAAAAATCTTTTCATGCCTATGAAAAAACAATGTGAAAATGAAGTTCTAAAATTACCTTTCATTGGACTTCGGTTCAGTATCATCAGGTCCAGGCCTCTCATGCAGTTGGGTGGAACCAAGACTTTCCATAGTCTGTAATGCAACAATAGTTGGTTGCCAATGGGCATGGTAAGAGAAGTACAACAGCAGATTCTCCTTTCTTTAAAAATAGAAAGATCAGGTAACATATAAACAAACCATAGTCTGTGTATTTCTGTTAAAGTGAGTAAAATGATGATGGTTTCCATAAAGCTGTGTATTGAATCGAATCATCCCTTTAACAAAGATACCTGACAACGTCATGGAAATGGCCAGCTCTGTGAGGTCTTCATTAGCTAAACCCTTTAGAACTGAACAGTGAAACAGGAGAGGTGAGAACCAGAACTGAGGAATGATCTTGAATGTGATCAGAAATTGATGTAACATTCACTGGTTGTTTACTGTCTTCTTTTTGGTCTCCTTTTGGGAGGGAGTCAGAGTCCCACATGGCTGAGGGTGACCTTAACCTGCTTCCTCCTTGCATGTGCTGGGAAACAGGTGTATGCCTTCATAGCCAGCTTCATTTATTACCTTTGTGCAATATATTGCTAATATGACCTTGAGTTAGCCATAGGGAATTGGGAATGGAATGGCTTGACCACAAATCAGTTTGGCTCAAAGGCCATCTCACAGGCTTGGAATGTAGCTCACCAGTAGAGTGGCTCCCTGGCTAGTAGGAGGCCCTAGATTTGACTGCTAGCATAGAAAAGAAAAAGAAGTGTTCCTTCCATTTCTTAATCCACTGCTGGTGGGAGTGTAAACTAGAGCCACCACTATGGAGTCAGTATGGAGGGTTCTCAAAGAACTAAAACCACAACTACTATATGGCCCAGTTATCCCACTCCTGGGCATCCCAAAGGACTCCATATCCTACCACAGAGACACTTGTACATACATGTTCACTGATGCATTACTCAAAATAGCAAGGAAATGAAGCCTGCATGGATGTCCATCAACAGATGAACAGATAATGAACATGTGCATATATACAATTTTATTTAGCTGTTGATAAAAACAAAATTGTGAAATTTTCAGGAAAATGGATGGAACTGGAAAAATTATATTGAGGTGACCCTGTCTCAAAAAGACAAAAAACATATTTTCTTTCTCATATGGGAATCCAGCTTTCAGTGCCTGTATATATAAAGAATAGTGGGCGTGAATACAGACTTTTCAGCTAGACGGGGCCATGAGGGGAGCAAGAGGTGGTGAGAAAGGAGCAAAAGGTCTCACGTGACATGAAAGTGGAAAGGAGGCAACTTGGGACAAGAGAGAAGAGGGAGAGGGACAGCAAAACAAATTCTGTTCAAAAACTGCCATAATAAAACCAATTTCTTCGTAAGCTGATAGAAATTTTAAAAAAACAAAAGAGAAAACAGTCAGGGCTACCTGATGAGGAATCCGAATGGCTTCTCCTCATTGCTGTCTTTGTGTTGGTTTTGTTTTTGTTTTTTAATTTTAAAATATTTTACTAGCATTGCTTTCTTTAATAACTAATATAATTACATTGAAAAAGTTTGTACAGGTTGGAGAATTTGCAAGGGGAGTGAATGGCAAACTTACGTTATAGGAACAATGACAAATTTCACATTATTGTTGAAACTTGGTAGTACAGTTTTGTCAGTAAATGATAGTCACTAAAATAATAGTAGACATATAGAATTTTGAATTTATATTCTAAAATATAATTGTACATTTTTGTTTGAGAATTTTATCAGTTTAGTTATTATAGTACTTTCTTTCTTTTTTTTTTTTTTTTAACTAACCCAGACTGATTTTTATCTCTAGAAGTTCAGTTTAGGTGTTTTGCATTTTCTGTAGGGCACAGGTGAAGGCACACTGGGGCTGTAGAAGAGCAATAGAAAAATAATGGAAAACCTCTTGGTGCCTGGTAATGGGAGAGGTCCAACAATCAAGGCCTGAGTACCCAGGACCATGTGTGGAATGAGAATCACAGCTGGCCCTCAGGGGAGGTGGGAGGTCCATTCTAGAGACTCAGTCCTCCCAAGACCAGAATCTGCAAATGATGGAGACCTCCCCTACCTCCAGCATAAGAGGCAAAGCCACTGCCATACACAACCTGGGACCTCAGGGGAGGGGGCTGTGGGGAATGCAGCCACTCAGAGAAGACTGAAATGCCTGTCCAATACTGGGCAGTCTCCATGTTCTACTCTGCTCCACCATCAGCCTACCGCCAGAGGAATGTAGAACTGGCCAATGGTAGGGGATCCAAAGCTCCAGGCTCACATGAGGGGACCACAACTCCACCTCATGAGAGGTATCCTTGTGTTTGAACCACAACTTACCTCTCATCTTAAAAAAAAAAAAAGAAAAAAAGCCAGTATGTCTCTGATTTTTAAAAATAAGTCTCGTCGTGTTTATACACAAGTCTAACATTCCTCTCCTTTGTGTACTATTGAATACACACAGAATGTACTGGCCTCTGATTTCTGTGTTTTAGTAATTAATGTTTAACCTTCTTGGGCAGAGCCTGTGACAGTAATAGAAGTATTGTAAACACAGTAACAAAGTGTATTTGGAGCAGCAAAGGATAAAAATGATGAGGGCAAGACGAGTGGTCTGTCTGGATCATATTCACCACTGAGTCCTGGTGGCCTGCACAGCTCAGCACCCAGTAAATAATATGCTATCAAAAGAGTGAGTAAGAACTGCCAGGCTGTTTAGGTAACATAAAGCCCAAACTCAATGACTCAAAGAGCTACAGAGAGAGAGAGAGGAACAGCTGATGTACTGCTTCTAGTAGTGCAGGTGCCCAGAACAGCTGCCATCCCCAGTGAGAAGCTTCTAGCACATTCTCTGATTGTTTTCTTCTCTGTTCCAGTTCACTGGAGGACAGAGCAAGTGTCAGACATGACCTGGAGGGACATTTCATCAGCCAGGCCTGGAAGTCACACACATCACTTCCCGTACCTCATCACAAGAGAGGCAGGGTATGTGCTGTTGCTGGGCATAGGGCCTACTTCACGGCTCTGGAAGGAAAGGGAGACAGCGAGCTCTTTACAGGCCACTTTGTGATAGCAATCGTTCTTTTAAAATATGAATTAGTTTGTATGTCTTTAAAATTTTTATTTTATTTCTGTGCGTGTGTGTGTGTGTGTGTGTGTGTCCGCATGCATGTGTGCACAGGTACATATGTGGCACTGCCCATGTGGGGAGGTGGGTGGACAGTCCTCTGGAACCAGTTCTCTCCTGCCACCTTGTGGGATTCAGGGACCAAACTTAGGTTATCAAGCCTGTATACAAGTGACTCTACCTGCTGAGCCATCTCACTGTCCCTAGATTATATATTTTAAGCAATAAAATATAAAATGCACAAAAAATATCAAAAGGAATTTAAATCTGCCACTGACCCTTTCCTAATGAGGCCACATCACAGTCTCCTCTCTGTAGTGCTCAAAGGTAGAAGCCTGGAGCTTCTGTGGCTAGCAGTGCTGCCATGACCTTCAGGGTGACATGTCCATCTATTGGGAGGATTTTTAGGCTTTGTCAGCACTTTAGAGTTTTAGAAGACAAACACATTTTTGCTCCAAGTGTTTTCAAGTGCTTCAGTCTGTAGTGAAATAGGTTTTGAGTCTAGTTTTCAGTGCCAATATGGAGAGGTGGGAAAGGAATTACAAATAATTTTCACAGTCTAAAACTAGCTGTATCAAGACACACGTTCTTTTAGATTTGAAGCTTATATTTGTAATTGGACCTAAGTTGAAAAACATCCATAAAAGGCAGTGGAGTTAATTTAAGAACTGATTTTTCCTACAATATTTGACATTATCCGTCTTATTAACTAAGGGGATAAACTACAAATAGGAAGCATAGTTAGAATAGTATATATTTCAGAGCGACCAAGTGAACGCAGTGCCTATCAGGAGGCATGCTTGTAAGGGTCTTTGACTGCTTCTATGAATACAGTCAGTGCTTTCTCTTGCTTCTGTCCCCTTCTCAGAGATATGTAGCCCTGGCTGGCCTCTAACTCACGATCCACGTGCTTCCACCTGTCAGGTGCTTGGATTATAGGCATTACACACATGCAATACCATGTCAAGCTATGAGCAATGCTTTCTAAAAATAATTCATGGAACTGAGCATGGTTATTCCTGAATAAAGATTAAATGTGTTCTTATTTACCCATTTGTAAATTCAACAGATTCAGAAAAATAATTCAATAGACTCAAAAAACCAGCTGTTGAATTAATAGTTATACAATATTGAACTCAGTATAAGCCCTGTAAGACATAAAATTGAATGAGTTTTTAGCCTTTAAAAAAGATCTCCATTTCATTTTAAAATATACTATTTCTTACAGAAAGACTCATTGTTTTTGCTAATAACACTGAGATGATAGCCACTTTTGAAAGAGCTGTATCTTTGCTCTAGAAACTGTTGTTATTGAGCATATTAAAGCTATAATGATATGTTTTTTCTAAAAAAATAATATTAAAAAAAACCCAGCTGTCTTGAAATTTTGACCTGAATTCTTTTGAACTCAGGCTCACATCTACATCAAAGATGTGTACTGTCCATTTCATTATCAAAATACAAGAAGAGTAATGTATGCAGCAACATGTGTTCATTTATATATTTATAACCTATGAAAAGAAACTCTTTAAAAAGGAATTCTGAGTAAGACTCACAATAATCCCAGGAATCAGCATGTGCTAAAAAAAAATCCCTGTAAAATAAACAGTGTAGGAAATAAGGTAAGTGAATTATCTGTTATTTATGTTGGTTTGGCTGATTTGTCTAGAGTTCTCAGTTTGACAGCCTGGACTCCATCAAAGAATAAAAACAAAGGAAGACAACATAATGTAAAGGTTAGGATGACAGTGCTGGGTTAGAGTGTTTGCTTAAAACTCTAGCCCTATCACTGCCAACTGGATGATTCTTCGTGAGCCTTAATTTCCTTGTATGGAAAATGGTGATGGCAACAGTACTTAACACAAAGCACCTATGTGGTACCAGTATGAATTTTAATACATGTTAAGCTATCCTCAACAGTTGTCAGACTGGTCCTTTCCAAAAGAAGTCAGGCAAGGGCT